AAAATATAATAATCATAACACAAAATGCAAAACAAGAATTTATACTGTAATAGTAATAAAAAATAATTGCATTTGGGCAATTTCCATAATGATAATGCTTTTCCCAACAAAATTGACAGAAAACAACAACCCTGCTAACCTAAGACTTCCACATTCAGGTACCTTAATATCCCTGTGCGTGATGTTCTTCCTGTGCAGGTACTGAACAGCGAGTGCCAATTGGTAGAAGTAGAATTTGACGGTCGACTCGGGTAGTCTGCGGTTGGAGGCCAGCCGGTCAAATAGCTCCCCGCCCTCGGCAAGCTCCATCACAATGTAGATTTTTTCCGGAGTGTCGATCACGTCCTGTAGCCTGATAATGCACGGCTGCCAAGGAGGAAACATAGGGAATGTCAAGTTACACTGTCTGGGAATAGAGGTTCTTATTTTCCCATTCCCTTTTATTTTTTTTTTTTTGTCAGTACATCTAGCCTTGGGAATTTACTATCATTTCTCACTCATTTATTTGGCATGTGATATCATCCAATGTCATCCATTCTTTTCCTTCTTTTATCATTACCTATTTACACACTTTTCTTCCCACCCTATCCTTGTCTGAAAAAGATACACAGAATCACACTATAGACAAACAGAAACAGAGACAGAGAGAAAGGAGAGGAGGGGAGAGAGGACAGAAGAGGAGATGAGAGGACAGGAGATGAGAGGAAAGGAAAGGAAAGAAAAGAGAAGACACACACTTCACCACAACAAAATGTCCCACCATCATACCTCACCAGAGAAACATAGACCAAGAGAAGAAAGATGGAGACAGAGAGACAGAAGGACAGAGACCCTAAACCACAACAAAACCTTCCACCACCAGACTCTACTCACATGGTCCACTGATTGAAGAAGTTTGATTTCATTGTTGATTGAGTTAATATTATTTAGGACAATCTGGCTGCCTTTCTTCCTGAGGATTTTGACAGCACAGCGCTCGAGAGTGTCCTGTGAGGAGAGAAAAGGTCACTGGGTCATTAATTGTTATAACCATTGTTCATGTTGTTATTAATGTCTTTAGTACTATCATTATTGAAATTGAAATTGATATCATTATCTTTTGGATGATTTACTGATATAGTAATTTTTTCTTATTGTTACATTTCTATATATCATGATCATTATCACCATAATTAATACTATCATTAGAATTATTTCATCATCATTTTTTAAAATACAAATATATTCAACATCATTCATTCCTATTACCTACAACTAATTATCTTTTTCCTTCTTTCAAAATCATCGCCACTATTGTTATCGTTTTTACCTTTATCATCTATATTATTACCACTACCTTATTATCTCTCATTCTTCTACTTTTTGTGCCCTACCTGCTTATATGCCAATCTGACTTCCCCGAAAGTTCCTTCACCCAATTTCTTCGACATGGTGTACAACTGCGTCAACTGCGGGGGGTAATTGCTGTCGTCGTTTTGCAGGCAGTCGTAGAACACAAATACTGGGAAGATGAGAATTCTAATTAATGTTTCTGGATGCAAATAATATATATATTTTTTTTTCTCTAATCGATGTTCATGTATATAGGTCCTCATTACTATTTTATTTATAACTGATTTTTATATTTATCATTTCTTTTTCCTTTCTTCATCTTTCTTTTATTTTTCTTCTTTTGCCATTTTCCATTTTTCTGTCATGGATTCACTGACACTGACTCAGACATAGATAATGATTTCCACTAAGCTCTTACCACAAAAATGGAACAAAATCTACCTTTACAAAAAGGATTTTCACAAATAAGAACAAATGGAAGCCAAGAACACTCAAACAACAAAGCACTTCTTACCAATTAAATCCTCTTCCCACCAAGGAAAAAAATCATGCAACAGGAACATTACCTAAACAACAAAGAAAAGAAAATGTCTGTTTAACTACAAATGACAACAACAACAAAAAAACTGTCATTGCTATCTTCATTCCTTGCCTGGTCTCCCTCCATTCTTTGTCTATCTCCTTAAAATAACAGTAAAAAGAACAAAAGAAAAGGTCTTTTGTATTCTGCTGGTAGAAGAAGAAGAAAGAAGTAGCTCCCTAAGAACGGAACCACTTTGCTTCCGTGGGCAACTGAGATCTTGGCAGTTTCCTCATTCAAGTCTATTAGCCACACTCTCCCACCTCACCTGTTTCTATCTCTTCTACTAACACAAAACAATAATAAACACAAGATTAATAAATAAATAAATTAATTAATAAATCTTAAAAAAGAAAGAGAAAGAAAAAGAGACATGACCTTCCCATCAGCAAGAGCCAGCCGAGCCTCTGTACTGATCTGAACGACAACTCTTGTCCCCTTTCCGCCCTCCCTCTGACTCAATGTCCCTCTCTCCCAAACGCATCTAAATAATGAAATTACAAACAGATAAAGAAATAAATAAACACACCTTTTTTATTAGCGTGTGCGAGGGAGATCTCGTCGTTATTCTGCAGGACGACCTTCTTCCCTCTGCCAACCTGCTTCTTGTTGACAAAAGTGCCATTGCAAGACAGGTCTTCCAGGAGGACCACATCATTGATATTGGTCTCACGACTCACGCTGTAAAAGAAGGAGGGGAGGGAGGGGGGAATGAGGAGAAGGAAGAAATAATAATAATAATAATAATAATAATAATAACAATAATAATAATAATAATAACAAAAATAACATTTTGCAGATGATAAGATCTGCAATATGCCATTTACCATTCTTGTTGCCAATGTTAGGCCAGGTTAAGATAAAATCTTTTTCCAAACTGACCACACCAATTTGCCATTCACAGTGGCCTTTATTTGTTTATTGTTATAATGATCTTTGCCATATATGTAATCATATTTGGTGAATTATATCCATTATGTACAAATGCTCTGACATGACTCTCCAACTGCAAACAATACCTATGGATCTTTGATATTACAAGAAATGTAAAAATAGTCAAAAGACAATACAAATCAGGTGGCAACATAATACATTATAGTACACTTCATAGAAGGAAACAGAGAGGGAGGGATGGGGGTCGGCCATAATTCACACTTTTATTGCTTTAACCCAATGCTGTCAGGCATGGTATGTACGTATATGGCATGCCGACTGTTAGTTTACTTTATTAATTGTATTTATACATAGATAGCTACACTTGTACTAAGTCACCAATGAGTACTGCCTGTCTCGCCCACTTACACTTTTCCTTGATTTACGAAAATATTTTACGTTATCTTATTTTGCTGTTACTAATGTTTATAACTTTATAGTAATTATATTGCCTAAAATAAAAATAATACCATTGATATTCATAGTATTGGTAATTTTTTTCCTGATAATTCAAGGTCTACTGATTGTCTCCTCCATGGCTAAGCACTAGCAGAGCCATTTATGTGCAGAGACATTTCACAAAAATATAAATAAATAAACAAATAAAAAATGAGGACAGCATTTTCCCGGTGGCACTGGGTTAAACAACCCACATTTTATTTACGAGAAAAACGAGACTGCACGACTGACAGTAAGAGATGCGGTCCTGCAACGGTTATGGGGATATGGGCGTATGGGGACAGTGTGGTGGCTATGGGTATCGCATGGAGGAAGCTTGGCAGAGTGATTTATTAATATACATCTTATTCATGGCAAAAACAACCCATGAATTTTTGGCTTATTCACAGTCATGGCAAATAAAACTTTCAGAATTTAATTTACCTTATATATGGAAGAGGAAGAGAAGGAAAAGGAGGAGGAAGACATAACCATAATCATGAAATAAAAGGACACAACCAAACAACACAAAACACAAATTCAATTACATCACCTAATACCAACCTCTTTTGCGGCCACTCACCGAAAGTGTATTTTTGAAATGGCCGGAAGGAGTGAATTGTCAAAATGGTCCTTCGTGAACTGGTGGTCGGCGTCTCCTCTACCGAAAGTGTAGGAGTTTTTGCTTAAGTCTGGTGGAGGAGAAAAACAAAATTAGAAAGCCACTACTGATAGCAATGATGATGAGAGGAATGATGAAGAAGAGCAGAACAAGGTGGACTAGAGATGGAGGAGGAGGAGGAGGGGGAAGTGTAGGGGAAGGAGAAATGGAAAGGAAAAGAGGAGGAAAAAGATGCTGATGCTATGAATTTAAAATATTTAGAAGTCAATTCTACTTCTATTTGCAACATTAATTTTCAATTCTGAAAACAAATAATCCAACATGAAAAAAAAGAAGAAAACTTACTATAAACAGAGACATTTTCCCTGACGGAGAGCAGTCGACCCCAGACATTCTCTATGTCAGCCAATTCGTACTCTGACTGGCTTGCCACCTCCTGCGTCTCCCGCCAGCCCTGGAGGGAAGGAAGGGAACTGTATTAAGGGTTTGTGGACTCACATACATATGAGTGTGAGTGTTTGTGTGTACATGTGCATATATGTGCATATCTTTCTAGACACAATAGCAAAATCATTTAAATTAAAGATTTGCATTTTGAACTTGAGTGTATGAAGTTTCCAAAGCGATATTAAATAATAATCATGCTTCACATTTCTACTGCCTGAATTTTCGCTTGACAGAGAATCTCGTCTCTTCACTGAACAAAACAAGGGGGGGGGGGGGGGGCCTCTCTCATTCTTCTCATGAAAAGCAGATAACGAAGGTTTGTCGACTACTGCATGAAGAGTGGAGGAATGAAACATACACATAAACATAAACAAACATGAACATGAACATAACCATAAACAAACATAAACATAAACATGAACCTGAGAGCATGAAGAGTGGAAACACAGCATCGCTCGTTGCTTAGATCAGTGGACCTTTGAGAGACGACCTTGACTTAGTGGAACCAGTCCAGTCATAGAAACATGTTACACGTGTCCTTCAAAAGCATTACATTTATTTTTTTTTTTTTTTACATCTGCATAGTGTTCTAGCCTTTGACTACCTTAATTTTTCTTTATATATGTCTCCTTGCCTATGACCACCTTCCCATCAGTCAAGAGAGTTTGAAAAGTGGTGCAACAGAAGCAATCCCACACACAGTCTGGGGGCCCAAGGACAAAATCACATGTTTATTAAGACGTCAATGGAAAAATAAATAGATAAACAAGTTGTAGCGGATGCTTGGAAGACGAGCTTAATCATACTCTCCTTAAGGAAAAAAAAATGAGTTCGTCACTCGTCTCGTCCAAAGGCAAAGACAAGCGACCAAAAATGGAAATACAAGAGCCCTCCCCCCCCCACAGCCTCTGCACTCCACACTCCTGCAAATGGCAACGAATTCCTCACGCTGAACCCTGCAACGAGCACGACACCCCGCCCCCCCACCTCCTCCTTAGGATTGAGGTAGGCCTATGTCAGTCTCCCTCCAGATGACAAGTCCTTCAAAGGCAACAAGAGCAAGGCAGGACATGAAATAGGATATATGGCGATAATGACAAATAAAGATGATGATGATAATGACTTAGAAATAACGAAAAAAATAAATTGAAAAAACCTAATGGGAGTTACCATGACAACTCCTGTATATAATTAAACTTAAATACCACACAATTTTCCGCCGCTGAGAATGACCACGGGAGAAAACGACGATCCTTCCAGATCCTCCAGAAATAATGGCATTTCAGAAAACATTAAAATTTTTCACTTACGAAAAAAAGGAAAACAAACTTGCTCGCCTCCTCCTCTCGCCTCATTTCACGCCAAAAGAAACCTCATTCTCACCTGTGTGCTCGCCTGGCTGTTGGGAAAGGGTTCCATCTCGCCTCCCGGAAGAGAAAACAAACGAACGAATCACGGAAATAGGGAGAAGATGCGATAAAGGGGAATAAGCGCGGCCGACATCAGCCTCGTCTTGCGCCACGGTCGCCCAGGCACGGCCGCGCTGGTGCCACGTCTCCACAGTAAATAAGTCTTAATTCAACTTTCATTGGAGATAGAATTATTTTTTTTCTATAATCATACTAATATATTTTCGTGTAGCTCTGTTGTTTGTTACTGTGATGGATTCAAGGACGTACAGTCTGACTTTCAGTGACATGCGTCCCAATTCTTTGGAGATGTGGCACCGGTTTTCCCTCCCGCTAAAATAATTAAAATTTTAAATAAATATTTTATTTCATTTTCTTATCAAAGTTTCCTCTGACGCTTCTTTGTCATTACTTCTTATCATCATTGTCGATACAGACTAATAATATGAATAAAGACAACTATCACAGTTTATTTTTTCCCTATGAGCATTATTACTATGAAATATTGATATATAATATCCATATAGATTGAAAAAAAAAATTGTGTGGTTCTTTATTGATTATTGTATTCTTCCAACCTAGAGATAGGCTGGAAGAATTATTATTTGACAATTCCTTCATTAGGAGTAGCATTCCGTATATTGTTAAAAGGAACATTTATTCATCTGTAGTATAAGGGCTATGGGTTTTGACAAGGAATTGCATTTCAGTCTTTTCATTTTTCAGAACTTAACTAAACGGCTCTATTTCCGTTCTTCTTCCCCCCGCCCCCCTTTCCTTCCTTCCTGATTTAGGCGTCTATTTTCTTTTCCAATTTATGCCGCTTTCCCTTCCAAATGTGCCCTCTTCTCTTTCATGTGTTGCTGCTTTTCCCTTCCACTCATGCCCCATTTCCTCTTCCATTTATAGCGCTTATCTCTTCCGCTGGTGCCCCTTCCCTTTTTCCTTTCAATAGGGCCCCTTCTTCCCCTAAATTGCTGCCCATTTCCCCATCAATTTAGGGATCTTTTCCCCTTTTCTGTCATGCTCCCTTTTCCCTCTCACTGGTGCTCTTTCTCCCTCAAGATTGTGCCCCCTTTTTCCTTCTAATAATGTCCCTGTCATTCCGTTCGGTGCCCCTCATTAGTACCCCGTATCTTTTTTCTTTTAGTGCTTCTTCTACCTTCAAACAGTGCCTCTCTTCCTTTACATTGGTGCCATTTCCCCTTTCAGTGGTGCCCCTTTTCATTCTTCAGCTGCCTCCTTTCCCGAAAATTGGTGCCCTCCTTCCTTTCCATCGGCACCCTTTTCCCTTCCATTGGCACCCTTTTCTCTACTACTAACGATCCTTTTCCTTTAAATTGGTGACCCTTTCATTCCACCAGTGATTCTTTTTCCTGCCAATGCTGTCCCTCCTAGAATGCCTAAAAATTGTTGGCCAGCTATTATACAAGTATTCTGTGTGATGCCCGTTCCTTCGTGTTTGTATGGATGCACACACACACGCACTGCTTGTGCAATGGTATGGAAGAGTGCACACTTAAATCACTCACTCACTCAGTTTCACACACACACACACACACACACACACACACACACACACACACACACACACACACACACACACACACACACACACACACACACACACACACACACACACACACACACACACACACACACACACGTGTGTGTGTGCGAGCACGTGTGCGTGTAAAACTGAATTTATCCTAAAAGAATTTATCCTAAAAGAATGGAAGGTCGAACCGCATTCAAACCGGTTATGTGAAAGTTATGCGAACGCCATTTTTTTTATTTCAATTGTTTCAGGGTCATTTCTTTATTTCAAACTCGTAATGTCTGTTTCATGCAATTAAAATAGCTGGATGATAAAACATACTCATTGTGCAATTAACATGTTTTATATTTTTAAGATTAAAGACTTTTGCTGAATAACGCCTCAGTCCTCTCTCTCGGCACTGCCCACTGTAAGGAAGCACATGTTTAAAAGATATTCCTCATTGTTCTATGAATGTGAGATGAACTGACAATGTCATAGAAATCAGTTGTGTTATAACCAACCGAGGACGAGAAATAATCATAAAAAACTTTTCCTGATTATCACATTTACGGAATTCATCTGCTAGCCTATTGCGTGACGTCACGGATCCTGGCCCGACGTAATTACGGATGAATTTCAATTGATTTCTTGCTCGATGATGAATGAATTTAACTTCAAACCATTTAGGCAAGTTCTTTGATATTTCAAGTACCACAAGAAAGATTAATCAATAAATGCCATTCTTTAAATGCTTCCGAGATGTGTGACGTAGCCAAGAACCTTCGGAGACCACGGTAGGTTCCTGTTTCATTGTTTCGTGTTATTTTAGGAACATTTATTCTTAAAGGATATATTAAGACAATGCAATAGTTACCCCTAATCCATCATAGAAAATAAAAAGAGTGGTTTAGGGGTAGCCATTATATTTTTGTATTCCCTCGAGATCACGTTAAATCAGGAGTGTGTTCGTGTGCTGGAAGAAGTGAAGTGAAGTGACATGAAGGACTCTACTTGTAATGGCCTGGCAGCATGAGGTGAAGTGCGATTAAGTGATTGGCTGAAGTGAGTGGCGGGGAAGACATTTGCACAAGATTTCTTGAGATGAGCTGAAGACACTTTGGCCATAACTCTGAAAGTCTTTAGGTATATCTGTATTTTTTATATATCTTTTATTTAATACTTATTTATACGAAGTTTTGTTGCTTTTCGCTAAATGGTACTTGCCGAGTCTGTGATAACTGAGATAATTAATTTGTCATTTGATGTGCGTTAAAGATATTGACATTCGTGAGAGAGAAGAGAGAGAGAGAGAGAGAGAGAGAGAGAGAGAGAGAGAGAGAGAGAGAGAGAGAGAGAGAGAGAGAGAGAGAGAGAGAGAGAGAGAGAGAGAGAGAGAAGAGAGAAGGAAGAGAGAGAGAAGAGAGAAAGGAAGAGAGAGAGAGAGAGAGAGAGAGAGAGAGAGAGAGAGAGAGAGAGAGAGAGAGAGAGAGAGAGAGAGAGAGAGAGAGAGAGAGAGAAGAAAGAGAGAGAGAGAGAGAGAGAGAGAGAGAGAGAGAGAGAGAGAGAGAGAGAGAGAGAGAGAGAGAGAGGGAGATAAAGAGAGAGAGGAGAAAAAGGGAGATAAGAGAGAGAGAGAGAGAGAGAGAGAGAGAGAGAGAGAGAGAGAGAGAGAGAGAGAGAGAGAGAGAGAGAGAGAGAGAGAGAGAGAGAGAGAGAGAGAGAGAGAGAGAGAGAGAGAGAGAGAGAGAGAGAGAGAGAGAGAGAGAGAGAGAGAGAGAGAGAGAGAGAGAGAGAGAGAGAGAGAGAGAGAGAGGAGAGAGAGAGAGAGAGAGAGAGAAAGGGAGATAAAGAGAGAGAGAGATATAAAGGGAGATAAAAAAAAGAGAGACAGATAAAGGGAGATAAAGAGAGAGAGAGAGATAAAGGGAGATAAAGAGAGAGAGAGAGATAAAGTGAGATAAAGAGAGAGAGAGAGAGAGAGAGAGAGAGAGAGAGAGAGAGAGAGAGAGAGCCTTCTGTATTTGAGTTTTGTTGGTTGAGTTCCACGTGTTGGAACAGTAGTTCTGATATAATGCTGAGTGCAAGGGTTTGTACAACAGTAATTCTCGTCTCAGTGGGGACTTCAAATTCTATTATTGTTTTTATGGGGATTTTTGGGGATTATGTATATATATATATATATATATATATATATATATATATATATATATATATATATATATATATATATATATATTATATATATATATGATATATATATATATATATATATATATGTATATATATATATATATATATATATATATATATATATATATATATATATATATATATTATTATTATATATATATTTATATACATTTAATTATTTACTTATTTATTTATATATAATAAATACTTATTGTACAGTATGACAGTCCATCATTGTTGATTTTTATATAATTGTTTTTATTAAATAAATGCAACTTACATGTATTGTTATTTGTTATTGTAAAAATACTATATTTTTTGTATGTATCATTAAATTATTGCCACAGGTTCTACCTTATCCTTCAAATACCTTCGTATCTAAAGAATCATAATGCACTTAATAATTAAAAAAAAGTTGTTATTCATAAAAAAAATATCTTTGTAGTATGTAACATAATTTCAACCAATCAGAGAACGTAAAAAGTTGCTAATTAGTGTTTACAGATGTCTACTTTCAGCCAATCAGAGATCGCCGACAGTTGCCGATTAGGGTTTACCGGCAGTCCCCCCAAGATGGCCGCCCTCAATCAGCTGATCGCCAACTTCTCCAGACTTTCTCGTCCTCTCGCGTCGTCGCAGATCGGTAAATTACGTTAGATTTCCACTCCAGGGGCACATAAGGTATCGGTCTAGGTGCTGTGGGCGTTTCGTGCAGGTGAGGCGAAGGGAAGGGGGAAATGGAGGCGGTTTCCTTCATTTGTTTTGATTTTTCCGCCTCGGCCGAGGATACGTAACGGGAGGTTTGCGATAGATCGGTTAGCTATTACTATGTTTATATATTACTATGCCTATCTATTGCTATGTCTATCTATTACTATGTCTATCTATTACTATGTCTATCATTACTATGTCTATCTATTGCTATGTCTATCTATTGCTATGTCTATCTATTACTATGTCTATCTATTACTATGTCTGTTTATTGGTCAGTCTAATTATATCTTTATGATGTAAGATGTCGAGAAAATTGTAAAGTATCGTCAGTCATTTTCTTGGGATTTTTAAATATTTTTTATTTATTAACTTGCTATGGTTGGGTAGCATACATTATGATTACAAAATATAGAAATATTAAACTATGTAATATTTCTAAGTTTTGTTCAGTTGTATTTTAGGTATAAAGGATAATTGCAGTATATATTTGTGTGTGTGTAAAATTGTATACATATATATATATATATATATATATATATATATATATATATATATATATATATATATATATATATATATATATAAACAGCGTACACACATAAAATTGTGCTGTAATAGGTATTATGAATTATTCTGAAAGAATATCATGGTTACTTGCACATTGTAATGCATTTC